TAACCTGTCTTCAAAGAATTAACACTGGAACCAAGTCTCCTGAATAGTTCTCGGTTTAAAGTGCATCGAATTAGCTCTTGCCCTCTCATCAAATCTTTTTCCTTCCCCTTGGTGCTAGAGTCAGCCAGAAAAGCCCGTGTTTCCTTGACACATAAGCCCCTGGCTCCACATCTTGGGCCGCTTTCAGATTTCTCACCTTTAGCTGGTCCTAAAGCCAAACTTCAGTTTGTTCTTAGCTGAGGGGAAATGATATCAAAGGTGAAGTCATGTGCCAAGGGGTCATTTGCTAAATTTGTAGCAGCTGCCATGTTAGGTAGATAGCAGGAGCTTTCCCAGACTGGAGAGTCATCCTGCCATCTTCTTATGAGCCAGCCGCTTCCAGAAAGCAAGGAGGGTGATGAGAAAATGGCTGTGGAAGGATGGCTCTACTGCTTCTTTCCTTCCTTCCTTCCTTCTTCCTTCCTTCTTCCTTCCTTCCTTCCTTCCTTCCTTCCTTCCTTCCTTCCTTCCTTCCTTCTCCTGTCCTTCCTGCCTTCCTGCCTTCCTGCCTTTCTTTCTTTTCTCTCTCTCTCTCTCTTCCTTCCTTTCTTTCTTTATGAGAAAGGCTACTGTTAATTGTTACCAAGAGCAGTACAGAAAATAAGACCAATAGCGTGTCGTAATGAGGCTTTGGAGCTAGACAGATCTGGGCTTGCGTCTGGGCCTGAATCTATGCACTAGCATGAGGATCACAAAGAAATCACTGAAGCTCCTTGACTTTTCCCTATAAAATGGAAATGCAGTTTATAAATTTATATATACTAAATGACACATGGTGGATATAACATTTGGAAACCTTTAGGATACGAAGAGAATATTCAATATGGTTGCAATTTTTCTCCCTATTGAAAGGCAGAATCAGAAAGGTAAGCTTAAATCACAATATCTAAAATTATATATATATATGTATATATATGATTTTAGAATTAATTAAGAGTGGAAGTGAAAAATGCTTACCATAGCTTTTCAGGTTGGCCCAAGTTCCCCTTCCTTTGAGATTGAAACTATATAATTAACTGCAATACATTCCAAAAATAGATAATTTACTTAAGAATGTACTTAAGAAGCACTGTCTTCTATTGATGATCAAGAATGTGTATCTTTGCTCCTGTCTTTATCTATATCATGTGGTATGCTGAGGTATATACTAATTTTAAAATGTGTCCAGATGTATGGAAGTGAGTGTAATTTAATGGGAAGGATAGGTTGCAGAGAAATCCAATCTGAGTTACTCGTTTCTAGAAGTAGGGAAGCTGCTCAAATCTCAGACCTCTTTGACTACATCTGCTTTTACTGTAAGGAATTGGAGCTATATGGGAACTGCCACTTCCACAGATAGAGAGGTGGGATATGATGACTTGTCTAAGAAGCAGGGAAACATGATCTGTAACCACCCACCCAAGCTTCCTGAATGATAACAAAAGCATCTATTACAATCTGGAACAGCTCATAAATACAGATCTTTAAAAAACAGAATTGTTTTACAGTATGCAAGATGTTTGCTTAAAATTTCAGTCTGGCCACATCATACTACTTTACCTGGTGATGTGTATATTTAATTGTTGTATATGCATATAGCCACATTGTACTACTTTATCTAATATGTATATTTGACTGTCACATATACACACATATATGCGTATATTAAAGGTAAGAGTCTTTCAATTATGAGGTTAAAACACTTTAGAGACATCTGTAAAATATAAATAATATCTTTAAAATGGAAGCTTGTCACAAAGGTTGATGATAATTTTGTGACATTGAATGAATGGATTTCTAAACTAGTCAATAAGCATTCACTGTGAATATTGTCGTTAGAGATAGCATGGCCCTTGTGCTCCTTTGAGGCTACACCAGAGCGATCAGTACAAAGTAAAGATTACAGAATTCATATTATAGTGTGTTTCTGATTTTGCAGCTTTCTTTTGTATTTACAAAGCCTGTATCAATTTGATTACCTCTCTAGTATTCTAGGTCAAGTGTTACTTTTTTTTCACATTGGGTATATTTAATCTCTCAGGTGGATTTTTCCATGTTGGCCAGTTTATGTGACCCTATTTGTCTGAATCACATTCTCAGGATTATTATGTTCACCAGATCTAAACCTTCCTGAGTTCAGGGCAAGTCAGTTGTTTTAATACTTTGATCACCACAGCTCAGGTTTTTGACCACTTCTCTCTGTCAATCAGTGCTTATCCATCTTCAATTCATCTCCAGCCCTCACCTACTGCCCCTTTGAAGTCAAGCGATTGACAGTTCCTTTCCACACTGTCCACCTGCTACTATTTATCTTGCCATTTCCCTAAGCTTGAGATTCTTTCCTACTGTTAGATTTTACCAGGACAGAGTTTTTAATATTGGACAGAGGTAGGATTATTGGTAAAGTAGAGCAGGACAAAAGTGAAATAAAGAGCCAAAGTGTACATGTGAAATTTCCCCTCTTGTCTTTAGAAGCAGAAGTGATCAAACTTTTGAGTACCAGCATCATGGAGATACACCCTGAGATGCATTGCCACGCATGAATTAAAACTGTCCAAAAACAACACAAAATCAAAACAGAAGGTCATCTCACTTTGTTCTCTACTAGAGAGTTCTACTGCTGAGGTCCTGAGAAGTCTCTGTGGCAGAATTCTAGGTTTCTGTGGCACTTATGGAACTGTGTGTTATACTGCCTGAGGACTGTGACATTATGTCTAGCCTTGAGAGGGTTTGCTGTTCTCAAAATACCTCAAAGGCTCATTTATTCCAAGACATCTTATGGACAACCCCTCCACTCATTGAATCCATGAACACAGGCTCAAACCAGCACATTTGAGGAAAGATGAATGATGAACCACAGCTAAATAAGAACAACAGTCCACATGTGATAGTTCTGTCCCTTCTATGGGTATCAGATAAATTCTGTTACTCAATAAGCTTGTAATGAGTCACACCTTTTCTTTATGATTTCTCATAGAGTCCTGCCAATATGTCCCTCAGTCAGACATCCAGTCAGTCAGCCAGTCACTCATAAAGTATAGGTAGAATATGTATCATAGGCCAGCATGTTTTGGCGCAAGAGTGCACACAATTGCAGAGTCTGTGCTAGCAAGTTGCTCTTGTGTTGGAGAATGAAAATGCTGACATCTACTATCGTGAAAGTCACTGGAAGTGAGAACAGTTATCTTGCCATCATTTGATCTCATGTGCCTAAAAGACCATACAGCACAACTCATAACCGTTAGGTGAATAAAAAGAAAAGCACAGAGATTGGTACTGCAAATGTCAAGATGACATCGCCACACAAACAAAATGTCCACAGCTGCTGATTGGATGACGCTCTTCTACTTGGGAGAGTACTGCAAAAATAAAGGTGATTGAGACCCAAATAATTAACTGCACATATTAATCACCTGTAAGCTTGTATAGACAGGGAAAACCATACTGAAGTGTAACTATGATACAGCTCAAATCTTTAACACCAAAAAGCTGTGTTAGGACCATAAGTGAGAAAGACTACCTCTCCACCACATCCTTTCCTGAGCAAGCAGTGATGGTGATGGCACAGGTGTGGGGAAATGAAAAGCATGCTGCCCAAACACAGGTCTCCGTCATGCTCCATCCATAGCACAAAGCAGGCAAGCCTAATGTAAACCCAATGTAAACTAATGACTCATCTTTCCGCTTTCCTTAGACCTCAGTGGGGGCCGCTCAGTTTGGTAAAGCTGAGATGGGCTCAGCCTCTGGATCCCTGCGAACAGCGTGCCAGGCTCAGAGGAGGCAAGGCAAGGTTTTCATTAGTTTCCAACTGCACAAAATTGTTGCTTAACTCAGGAAACAAGCAATTTCTCTTAAAAGTCCCGAGGAAGTCATTTGCGTTTTATATTCTGGTGACTCTGTGAAATAAATAAACGGGCATTGCGATATTTTGTAGTGGTCTTTCCAGTTCCATTATCTCCACAGAAGGGCCCACACACAGCCCCCACATACATCATTGTCTTCTTGGGAAACACCTGTCTTGGGAGTTCTTGGAGGCACAGCTTCTGAGCGCAAACAGGGTCAAGTGCACAAATGGGGCAGCGAGTCTTTTGGAAGTCACATTTGTCTCCGAGACTTCAGTCACCTGCAGACTGCATGCCTCATTGACTGCAGCATATCCTTCCTGGTGGAGTAGGATGAGTTTAGGAATCTCACTGAGTATCAAAATTTTATTTGAGAGGCCAAACGGTATAATCATTTAATGCCGAAATGCCTTGCACTTTCTGCTGATTGAGAACTTTTTTCTTTACTTTGGTTATCTGGCAGCTATAAGCAGTCTTCTTTGGGTCTAGGATCCTTCATGGGATAGGAAGGGCATACTAAGCAAACCATTGCGTCAGTTAAGCACACATCCCTGTTCTGATTCATAGAAAATCCCTACTTCTTTTGCTATGCAAACTCCTCTCTCACACACAGTTCCTAGAATCACGGCCACACTCATAGCCCACAGACATAACCACAGGGCAGCAAAATTCCATGACCATCCCTGTGAAAAATCAAGCCAAGCTGAAGATGCGAAAAGGTGGATATGGTACCAGGTGAATGTGTAATCAGTAATAAGAAATACATCGAGCCCCATTATGGAAAGAAATCCCCCAATTGTTCAGGACACCCCCTCCCCCTTCCATCCACTGATTTATTAACCCTGAACAAAGATGTAACTGCAGGGTCTCAGAAACTTTTTTTCGTTTCTTTTTTCTTTTTTTTCCTTTTTTTTTTCTTTTTGGTATTTGATTTGGCTTTGAATTTCTTATCTAGTTGTACCATTCATTGCATATTTTCTTTGCTCAGTTGCCCATCGTTTCCCCTCCACCCCTCCAGAAATGAAAGAAGCCATAGCTTCTGAGCCTTAAGGATGAGACCTCTGCATTTTCTTTGCTTGTTTAGGGCAAGAAATGAAGTGCCGCCTCTTTAAGTGGCAGAAGCATGCAGGAGGAGCATACCTTTAATTTAGTGTTGGGATACCTTACTTGCACCCTGGCTGTTGTCTTATTGGAGACGGCAGCCTGCCTGAGATCCTCTAGTACTGAAATAATATCATCCAGCACGCATTTCTTATCCTGATTTCTCAATACACACAGATGGGAAAAAGTATAATTATAGCCCTTGTGGTTCACCTTCATTTCCAGCACGGCTCGGTGGGTCTGCAGGATCCCCTCAGCCTGGAGCAAAATATTGTCCCCGGGTGAGGAGAGGAGGATCACCCTGCCATACCTCCCAGGGGTGTGTAAGTCCGAATAGAGCTGGCTTTTGGACTGGTCCAGGGGGAATAGGCTGCTGGCTAGGCTGCGCTCGATCTTGGCCAGGCTGTGGCTGGGAGCAACCAGGCGCTCCAGGTCGCCCTCGGTCTGGAAGCGGTTGAGCGCGCTGAGGCCGAAGGTGATGGTCAGGACTGCCGGCACGGTGAGGAAAAAGACCGGGTGCCGGCTCACGCACAAGCCCAGCCTGTGGCAGAATGACTGGAGCCCTCTGCGAAGCACCTGCCGCAGCATCCTCCACCAGATCCAGCTCGCAGGCGCTCCCGGCCGTCTTAAAAAGCACATGTGACATGTGTAAGCGTTGGGGCTACCCCTTTCTCCCCCATCCCATTTCCCCCAGGGATCAGCCCCCCCTCTCCACCTCTGCCACCGCCTCCTCCCCGCCCCCTCCCCGCGCACACCCCGCAACTGCTCCGCCCGGACTTCCCCCGGCCCCACCTCCATGCGCTCTTACTACTCTTTCAAACACTGCAGCAAGTTGCAGCAAGGCCGGCAAGTCTCAAGTCTCGGGAGCGCGCGTGGGGGGCCGGACCGCGGGCGCTGCGGGGGGTGGCAGGGCCCACCCCGG